AATATTAAAATTCCTATGTACCCAGACTTTGTGGACATCCTGTATTCCCAATCTAAACCGGCTAGACGCCGAGCTAGTGACTCAGTGGTTAGAACGTTAGACTTCTCATCAAATTGTCGCGAGTTCCAGCCTCTGAGCAGAGCCTAGCTACAGCCAGCGCAAGGCTAACGCGCCGACTCTCATGACTCACCCAGCCATTGAAGTCGTGACTTTCTTGTGACTATCATCCAATTGGCCCAACCTTGTACATACGCTTTCGCTTGCTCTTAAGTATGCTGTACTAGGTTTGCTCTAAGACTTCTGCTTTCTGCACACTTCCTGTTGTGTTCTTCTTTCGGGGCTCACATGAGGCGTTAGTCAGACGGGAATAGCACAGCCTTGGCCACCGTTACAACATGGCTGATGGCGGCTACTGAGCCAGCAATTGTCCTTCCACTCCCCCTCGTCTTTACCAGCAATGCTAGCTGTCAAAGAAAGGTATTTAAACACAGACTATGTTTATGGTGATAAGTTGTTTAGCTGCGAAAAGTATTACTCTCTCCCTTCATTTCTTAGCTGGCTTCCATGGATATTTCTAATGCTGATAATCTTACGAGTCAGGAGGATGATAGAGATGAAGGCTACAACAAATAAAACTACGCTGCCGTTGATGATGAAGCTGATAAGGATGCTAATGTTAGGGCTTTCTTGTGATACCACTTTTTTCTTTGATTAACAATTATAATACAAAATACTTGCACATTTTCAGTAGGCCAAATTTCCGCCTTTCCAAACACTTCCTTCTTTATATTAACCAATAGTAGTTGCTCTAATTGTTTTCTTGGTCTATAGGCTTCCTTTTTGGTCTTTGCTGTCCCTCCCGTAAATGTTAACCTCCATTTTTCTTATTGCGCAGTTATCACGCACCCATACGCCCCCTGATGTGTCCCATCGTTTCATTTTCCTTTAGCCACGAATTCCGAAAGAAACTTGGGCAGGGCGCTTTTTCCATTAGGTGACCTCATCAGAAAGCCTTACTATGCTATTTTTACTGCGGGCCGAGTTGGTCAAGGAAGAATCCACGTTCTGTTGAGACAGCAAATTATTTTCAATGATAGAAGACTACTTACTTCTGTTTGAGGGTGGTTCAGTGGGGAATTGTGTTGGTTGCCAGCAGAAGCGTAAGCAGGGTACCAGAAACTTTACGAGATTTGAAATGATAGACACCGTAATTACAAAGTCCATGGCGAAGGCACCAGCAAGCACCATTAACCCCAACTTTTTACTGCCTTCGAATGCCGGATCTTTAGGCCACATAACGGTCTCGTGGATAGACACATTTTCTGGAGGCTTTAAACCCAAGGTTGGATGCTCCGTCAACAGATCTGCCAACTCCTCAATTTTACTAACATTATACTCGCGGAAGGTGTGCAGTTTCCAAAGGTAAAGAACACACGCAGCGTCGACAGAAATGTTAAGACTCGGAGTTGGCATTGTTTCCGGGAAAAGATAGCCCCAGTGTCGGCCCCCAGCTTCGTACGTTCGGTTGAAGCACTGCCAACTTCAACTACTATCGATTAACCAAACACACTACCCGGGTCACGTGGAATAGAGCGAGAGAGACCTGCGCTGATCAAAAGGAAGGAATTCATGCATCCTATTTAGCGTTGGGATGCCGGTCCAGAAGCCACTCCCTTGCAGATAGTCGTATAGCGGGCCACAAACAGCTTCAGAAAATGAGTACCGCCAAAAACAACAAGGTTTTCTGATTGACCCGCCGTCCTTAGCCATCCATGTCCAAACGCAGACCGGGGAGGCATAGAAATTCTGTTGAAGTTCTTGTGTCGACAAAATAAAGGTTTAATAAATTAGAGGTCAGGGAGGGCTGAGTGGGTTGGGTCGGCTGTTTACTGTGAGAAAGGAGTTCTACAAAGAGCTCTGCTCTAAAGGAAAGGGGTGGTAGCCCTATTTTGTGATGTGGCAAGTTTTGAATTCAATGCAAGATAGCATACAAGCTTTTGGAGAAGAGAAAGAGCAGCCAATCAACTGTAAGAACTAAATAACGTTTAGAAGAAGATGATGTGATCACTGGAACAAGATTTTTATTTTCCTGACGTTTCGGATTCTGTTGGGAATCCCTAATCATGGGTAATGGTGGGATAGTCTGAGCCATGCGCAGATAGGGGTGGGGGGAATGGTACATTCCGTAGGGAAGTTACACAACCAGAAACTGGCTGCTGCAAGGGGAAAATAACTACAGAGAATGGTGCCGGGATGAGTGTGTTACAGTCGCATAAGGCTGACATGCTATGGCCGACATCCTAATTTATTCTTCCTGTATCAAGATGAAAGTTACAATACTGCATATTGTAGTGAACCCCCACTGCGCCATAAGCTGTCCAGGTGCACAATAACCGTCTAAGGGTTCGGTTTGCGCTCCCACAACGAATGCCGAAAATGGGGCAGGGGGCGTTGGCGGCACACGTTGGTGCAGACTCGGGCGCCAGTCACCCGTGGTCTTTATGGCACTCCTACTTCGTGGAATCTGGGTTAGACATGGGATCTGAGTAAAGAAGAAGAAGAAGAAGAAGAAGAAGAAGAAGAAGAAGAAAGAAGGTTGTTCGCTCGGTGGAATCATGGCTTTATTCATCTGATATTTTGAGCTCGGCAACAGTAGCTTATGTAGGCCCACTCATTAATCCCTACTT